TGTTTGTTTTGTTTTGTTTTGTTTTGAGACAGAGTCTCACTCTGTCACCCAGGCTGGAGTGCAGTGGCGTGATCTCAGCTCACTGCAACCTCTGCCTCCTGGGTTCAAGTGAGTCTCTTATCTCAGCCTCCCAAGTAGCTGGGATTACAGGCGTGAGCCACTGCGCCCAGCTAATTTTTGTATTTTTAGTAGAGACAGGGTTTTACCGTATGGTCCAAGCTGGTCTTGAACTCCTGACCTCAGGTGATCTGCCTGTCTCGGCCTCCCGAAGTGCTGGGATTATAGGCGTGAGCTACCATGCCTGGCCCAGTCTATGGTATTTTGTTATGGCAGCCCAAGCTGACCAAGACAGTTATGATCACATTTGGAAAATGCAACTAAAACCAGGCAAAGAAACCTGGAAGTATAGACAATTATCCAAAATAACTAATAATAGTAATAACTTATTTTATGAAAAACATGGCCTTCTCGGTTAGGGTTGCCATTTTATGTCTAGAAAGGGGAACCTGTTTCTTCAGGAAATCTATAGAATGTGACTGGGAAAAGGACCAAGAGATGACTGCACTCCAGCCAAGAACTTACCCACAGAACTCACAGTGAAACAGACACAGAGGAGCAAGATAGATACGACTGCCACAGACCAGACCTTCAACTGGAACCACCAGACTCCTTTCTCTGTCAGATCAGCAAGACAAATGCATAGTCATAATCTCCACTGCTGAAGACCCAGGAAGCCAGAGTCCCAAAAATCTTGGAACAACAAAATCAGGCTATGATCAAAACTAATTAAAACACAAAAAATGTGAAAGCAAGAAGAGATTACAGAAATTACAGAGATTACAGAACAAATGACCAGTTAGTACCCTGGAACCCAAGACAAATCCAGGCAAAACTCATTCAGAGTAAACTGTACTTTCCAGTTCCCTACTCTCTTTACCTTTGAATCGCACAGCCTTGGCCTCAAACTTTCAGGCTTAAGTGGTCCTCCTGCCTCAGTCTCTGAGTAGCTGGGACTTTAGGCATGTGCTTGCACGCCTGACCAAATTCATTTTCCTTTAAGACCTTCTAGGCCCGAGTTGTTTTTCTTTTTTTCTTTCATCTTTCCCTGATCCAAGTATCTTGGGTCCATACCTATTTCCATACTGAAATTATTATTATGTGTGAAAAGCTGTCTATTTCTTCTTCCAAAGTCACCCCTATCACCTCAATGCCTGTTTCCCACTCTATCCTGCTGTTACTACCTTCCCTAGAACTGAGAAGATGAATGCTCACCTTGGTCTTGAGGCTCTTCTTCAGGCACCATTGTGTGTGTACACCCTTTGGACTTCCTCTATCAGGAGGTGCAGAAGCTCTTGTATCACTTTCCCTAAAGATGTGACGTTAGGGGGTCTGCTTCTTTCAAACAAGCCAAGCCCTTAGATCCTTCTTCGCCTACTCTTGCAAAGGAAGAGATGTGACTTAGGAGACTTTCTGCACTGAGCTAAAGCTTTCAATTTAAAACATACATCATATTCAGAAATAAGGAAACACAAAGAAGGAAATTGAGAAATACATCAAAAACAATTCATGGCTGCAGGTCTAATTTTTTTTTTTTAGATAGGGTCTCACTCTATCACCCAGGCTGGAGTGCAGTGGTGCAATCTCAGCTTACTGCAACCTCTGCTTCATGGGTTCAAGCAATTCTCCTGCCTCAGCCTCCCGAGCAGCTGGGACTACAGGCATGCGCCACCATGCCCAGCTAATTTTTGTATTTTTAGTAGAGAAGGGATTTCACCATATTGGCCAGGTTGGTCTCGAACTCCTGACCTCCTGCCGTTGCACTCCAGCCTGGGCAACAAGAGCAAGACTCCATCTCAAAAAAACAAATTTAAAAAAAAAAAAAAAAAGCCTCTTCCTTTTGTAAATTGCCCAGTCTCAGATGTCTTTATCAGCAGTGTGAAAATGGACTAATACAGCCTCCCAAAGTCCTGGGTTACCATTGTGAGCCCACCACCTGCCCGGCCACTGCTGAGTAATCTTAATTAGAGAAAATCCATTATAGCCTGTGCTACTCAAATGGAGATGTTTGGTTGAAGGATGGTTACAACTACTGGTGAAATAGACACTGAGAAATAAATAACCTAGGTATTCCAGAATCTTTCCAGAGTTCAACTGAGATTTAATTGTAAAGTAGTGAGAGAAAAGTTTTGAGTTAGCAGCCGTCCATTGAGCTATTTTAGGACCCAGACCAATGAGATCCTTTCTAAGCTGTATACTTGCTGAAACAACTTAAAGTCCAGTTTGGTCTCTTGTCTACCTCCCATTTACAGTTCCCCAAACATCCCTCTGCCCCTGCCTCAGGGGTTCTGCCTGTTGCATTCCTCTGTCTTGGATTAAAATGTAGAGTAGGAGGGTATTCTTTTGAATATACAACGTTAAGAAGAGAGGAGCAAAGGCAAAAATGAGAAAAATAATTTAAAATAGAACAAATTATAAAAGCAGAAAGAGGCCGGGCGCGGTGGCTCAAGCCTGTAATCCCAGAACCTTGGGAGGCCGAGACGGGCGGATCACGAGGTCAGGAGATCAAGACCATCCTGGCTAACACGGTGAAACCCCATCTCTACTAAAAAA